AAAAAAAAAAAAAAAAAAAAAAAAAAAAAGGTCAATCCACAGTTCTACGTTAGCCATAGTGTCAAAAGTAGATACATTAAAGATTAAGGAGTAGAAAATAATGGTGTATTAGCTTTCTTTTCATTTTGTTTTAAGTCCCAAATGAATCCGAGGTTAAGAAAACTAAACAAGTGACAGGAGGGAAGGTGACAGGCAGCTCGGAAGGTGTCAGTGGATTGACTATCAGCAAGAAGGGAACAGGAAAACATTTTCAGTGGAGGTCGAGATAGCTGGCATAGTCACTCCAACTCAGTACAAGGCAGTCAATTTCCCAACAGATTCCTAAAAATACTGGATTAAATTAACTAAGACCAAAATGGTGTTATGTAGGTAATCATAAAGAAAAAGCAATTAATTGCTTTCATCTCACAGACCTGTCATACAGTATATTTAAAACATGTATTATTAAATTCAATATATCATTTAACAGTAACATGGATTGCTTAGGCTTAAAATTGTACCATGCATTGAAATAGTTGGTATTATAGGAAAAAAGACTTTAAAACCAGAACATATGTGTATACATTTACTAAGGACATCTAAATGACACCACAAATATGAGAAGCTTTTTCAAAATGCAGTGACTAACCAGCGGTAAGGAAACTAACATCAAGTTCCTTAATCATGGGCATCAATAACCATGAAAAATAAAACTAGTCTAATTCATTTTGTAATTCTCTCAAATCCAACACTTACATTCGAATTTTAGAATCCAGCATCCATTGAGAATCCCAAGCATACACTTCAAGGTACTTTGAACTTCATCACCAGGAACAACAACATGAGTTACTAAAATACAAAAAAAGCAGTAAGAGAAACAAAGATATAAGCCAAAATACTTCTTTGGCCTGCTTTTTATAACTAATCTAGATTTTGTAAACTTATATCTGAATTTTCTTCAAAGGCAAGAATTTTTACACTCAAGTGTAAGACTTCTTTTATTTGGTACCTAGTTCTACAACCTGGCCATCAATATGAAAAATCAGATCATAAACCATGTATCTTAAAGCCATATTAGCAAACACAAATTTTTATTTAATTTTCAAATTATAGCTAAGTGATTATGACATTACATTGCACTACAATTTATCTGTCATTAGCAAAGTCATAAATTTGCTCTTCTCAAATACTGTCTTGTCCTAAAATATATGCAGACTTTAAACTTTACATTTCCTAACTACATTAAGTCTATAAGTAGTTTATTAGTGAAAAAATTATTTTAGATTTATTACAAGATGCAAAGTACACAGCCATCTCCCAAGGGTTAAAACATATGTAAATTATCAAAGGTACTTCTCCAAAGGGATCATCTATTTAACATTTTTTTCTACCCCCCCCAAAATTCAAAATCCTCACCTGTACTCTCAAACTCAGTACATTTTTTAGCCTTAAGAATTACTGCAAGCTCACTGAGCATTTTCTGTTGTTCTGAAGAAAGCCCACTGCCTATAAGTACAAGAGGTCCATCCTTACGCTGCCCAGTCTTCATCTGTTAATACAAAAGGAGATGCCAAGTGTTAAAAACATTAGAAGACTAAACAAAGACATTAAACAGACCTTTACTTGATATAAGCTTGAATTTCATTACTTTGTTTACTCTACTAATAATTCTCAATGATTTCCATTGAGTCTACACCCAGAACCTTTTAAATAATTGTCTCTTTATTTTTCCCTCAAGAAAATGTCAATCGAGATAGCTTTCTATACCCAGGGCATCTTGTTTCTTCAATTTTAAATTGTGTCTCTCTAGGGTTTTACTTCATTCTGTCACCACTAAGTTTTTTTCTTTCCCCAAGTAACTCAAAATATTCACTTAAAATGAGCAATTCCCTATTCCACCTCCACTAAGTTGTCCCAATAGAGTTAAACTCAAAAGGTCTGTTTAGTTTAAACTGAGATTATCTGAAAAACCAAAGAATGCCAAAGCTTCTAGAACAGTGCTGACCCCAAAGATGGAAAACAAATTTTCATCATCAAAATAGTAACACCCTCAAAACTAGGAAAAGATAAAAACAGACAAGTTAATTCAAAACTTAGGAGATCAGATCCATAAACAGTAAGAAGTCCATGCAGTTCATGACTAAGAAGTATTCTAACAAAGACTAATAGTTTCACTTTAAAATCTAGGCTTACAATTCATAGACGACAAAAAAGACAAAAATAAGGAGAAGCTAACAGTGGATAGCATTAAAGCTTAGTAGTTCAAGACTCAAGGAAACAATGGGTGTGTGTTTACGTATGTGTGTATATGTATGAATATATATATATTTCCATAAAAGTGTTTGTAAATGACAGAATTCAGCACTTAAAAGTTCAGCTAATCTTTCCTAGTCACTAAATTGTAAGATGATGTAACCACATCTAACCTAAATGCTATAAACACTCCTCACATGAAAATAAATAGTTCAGTGTATTTTATGGATTGTTCAATTACTCTTTAATATTTAAAAACACTACAATATTTTAGAAATTCTTGTAAGTTACACAAATACCATAAAATAGCTCTAAATAGAACACATTACTTCTCAATGTATGTAACTCCACTTGAGCTAAATTAGTTCTCTGCACAAAACACGAGTGAAAAAGATATCATTTCTAAATATAGCATACAATACTATCTCTGTCAACCCAAGGAAAGCACCAAAGTGTGTCAAGTATTTTCCTACCATACTTTTTAAAATTTGTATACAAATAGAAATGGGCACTAATTTCTCATAGTTAAAGAATGCTATAATAAAACATAAAGCAAACAGCTGCCAAAGCCACATGTCTGATTTGGGGTGGCGTGGCATTGGGGGCTGGGGATTTCACTTGAATAAGCATAGGTCTCACACCCATAAGGCTCAAAAGAGGTGCAAAACACACTCCAAGGTTTAATACTCTGATTTTACAGAGATTAGATACTATGTTCATTACCATTCAATAAATTCAAAGATTAGAATACTTTTTCTTAGATAAAATCATTAGTTTTTACAAATAAGTTCATCAAAAATGGGGTTAAAAAATTTAGAAAAAAGTTAAAAACATAAACATGCTGCTCAGAATGAAACATGAGCAGAGAAGTCTCAAACGAATGACAAGGAGCTTTTTAAATTTTTAGAAGATTAGAGGTTGCTTTCCAATGCAGTTTTCCAATAGCCGCTACATTTAACTTGAAACACAAAAATTCTAAAGAGGAAGTAGAGAAATTCAAACCCATTCCCTTCTGCATGATGCTCCCTAAAGCAGCTCATTGGACATCACTGATTTAAAGGATTCCAGACTAAGCTACCAAGCACTTGTGCTTGTTTTAGAGGCAAGATTGTATCATAAAGAACACTCTAATGCTCATACATGTACTCAGTACACACTTACTGCACATTCAGTATGTGCCAAACACTGTTCTCAATGCTAGGGCTACTATAGAAAACAAAAGAGCAAGTCCCTGTCCTCACACCATTTATATTCTAGTTGAAAGGGGAAAGCAACACAATGTGAATGAAGAAAACAATTTATAGTTGCTGAGTATGGTGGGACTGAGTTGAATATTGACCCAAGGCTTAAGAAATGTGAGTTCTAACTGGTCCTTTAATAAAGAAAAAAACAACCTTTTATTTTTAATGGTTTGTTAACCCCGGGGAAACACAGCCTCTTATTTTTACAAATTTTCTCATTTGTAAAGTAAGGAAATTAAACTGCTGATCTCTAGCTCCTCTTCCAATTCATTACCAAAACTATAGTTTGGAATACGTTTACAAGGCTGAAGTCTAAAGCAGAAGACATGAGGTTTTCAAGATACACAAGTAGCTAGCCCATGAAAGCATCTATGAGAGTATCAAATTGTAGCTACCTTAGGCTACCTCCTTAAACAGTGGTATCTACCACTACTCTTATGAATGATTCTTGACTTCAGCTCATCCCTTTTTGTTATTTTCCTCCATCTGAGCAGTACTGTGATATGGTGAGACTAACAACTCTCTTGAAAACCCCTCTTCTTCTCTCCATCCCCATGTAACTACCATCTATAATTCCAGTCCTCAGCATTTCAAACCTGGATTCCACTACTAGAGCCTCCCACCCAATCAGCCTTCAGTTTCTTCTCACTTCCAGCTATCCTGCAGACAGTCGTATTTCAGTCTAAAACTCACTGAAGGTGCCCTATTAAGTCTAAACTTGTATTGGAGAATTTAAGGCCTTTCACAATCTGGTCCCAACCTAGCCCTGAATCCCTCTTTAACACACTACATGCTTCTGTACAGTAAACGCTATAGTTTCTCAAATTCCTTAGGTCCTTTATGCCTCTTTGTCTCTGAGCAGCTGTTCCTTAGATTTGGGCTGCCATTCTCACTTTGTACACCTGACTGCAGTGGGGAATGTTGGCTGTCCACTCAAAATCGATTGCTCACTTCCTCCACATTAACAGAAGCCCAGTTTTGTTCAGGTAGCCCCACTTTCAAAGACTGACCCTATCTCCAGCCCCAGGGTACATCAAAACTAAAACACAGGGGAAGTCCATGGCAAGGCTTCTGCAAAAGACTTCAGTGTCTTTTTTTCACAGCCACTGTCATATCTAGAATTGTGGCAACCATCATCCTATAACCACTAAAGAAAGTTTCTTAGTGAGGACAAATCCACCAAACTGAGGATGGCAAGTAAAGAGATACAAAGAATTTGGTTCCTTGCTGCAACCACTAAGTGCTAAATTAAACAAATGCAGAGCTATCCTGCATCGGGATTATTCTATATAAGGTAATAAATTATCTTCAAGCATTTGAGGAAAGGTTTTCTGTTATTGGCAGCCAACAGGATTCTATTAGACATTTTGCTAAAGTGTTTACCCTGAAAGACTTAAGATACCTTTTCTATGAAAATCTGTCTTTATTTATTTATTTATTTATTTATTGAGATAGTTTTGCTTTGCCACCCAGGATGGAGTGCAGTGGCATGGTCTCAGCTCAAGGCAACCTTCATTTCCTGGGTTCAAGCAATTCTCGTACCTCAGTCTCCCTAGCAGCTGGGACTACAGGCGCATGCCACCATGCTCGGTTAAGTTTTTTATTTTTCGTAGAGATGGGGTTTCACCATTTTGGCCAGGCAGGTCTCGAACTACTGACCTCAAGTGATCCGCCTGCAACAGCCTTCCAAAGAGCTGAGATTACAGGTGTGAGCCACCATACCTGGCCTTTCTGTGAAAATTTTCCAGACCTCTCCTGTAGTTTCTACTTATGCTGATTCTACTGCATATTTTTATAGCTGATTTTACAAATTTTTTACAATGTACAGTAAAAGTTTTCACATCTGAAATTCCTGCTAAGCTATGGGTTTCTAAGAAACAGGCATTCTTTCCACTTTATCTCTAGCTTGTACCTCTCTCCTAAGCTCCAGACTTTTATATCCAGTGATCTCTTCGACATCTCCATTTGATGTTTTACAGACATCAAATTGGCACACAGAACTATTGATTTCCTCCTCCATGGCAACAAATGGCATTACCATCTACTTCATTGCTAAGGTCATACTAATTCCACTCTTCTCCCACACTTCATATGTAATCCATCTGAAAGTCCTGTTTAGATGCTCACCAGTCTCCAGCAATAACAAACTTCTTTCTAACCTTCTAACATACCAGCCTCATTCACTGCAGGGCCTTATACATTTGTGTCCTCCAGAGAGTCACCTGGCAACCTCCTCACTTCAACATTCAGGTTTCAATTCAAATCAGTGCTTTAAGGCTCCTCCTCCGTGATCCTTGCTAAAGCAATGGCCTTGCAGAAGCCCACAACCTCCATCCAATGACACTCTACAAATCTTCAAAGCAATCACATCTAAGTTCCTGAAATTATTTTATTTATATTAGTCCACATATTTACATTTTGTCTCTTTCCTACCTCTCACGAGATGGTAAGCTCTTCCCTGAGAATAAGAGTTCTATCAGTCATATTCACTGTTTTATGACTGCTGCCTAAAATACAGAGGGCTCAATAAGTATTTCTAGACGGTCACACTCTGTCTTTGAATCCACAGTAGCTAATACTCAGGAAATGCTCAATAACTGTTTGTGAATATAAGCAATTTGCCAACTGGAAATTTTTCTTTTATGTTCCTTTCATAACCAATTTTAATTAAATATATAAATGTTCCAAAGCTAAATTCATACTTACTACCGAGCAATGGCTGGTTGAGGATGATTCATTCTTCTCTGGAAGCAGCAATAGTGACTTCATATCTTCATCATCTGTATAATCCACAGGCCGCAGACCAAATATGTTACTGGTAAAATAAGTGCAGATGTGTTTAAGTAAGTCAAATGTGTGACTTGATTCTTAACTACATGAATGCACCAGTAGAACAATTTTTCAACATCCTTAATAGTAAACAACTTTAACTAAAATAAATTACTCGGAACTCACATTAGGCAGAAGAATCTAGAATCAAAAGCTGCTGAACTCAAAGGAGAAATGATGCAAAATTTCAGTTTGACATCAGATTATAAGGATCGTTTTTACTGAATATAGTATTATGAATTTTTCACAACTATATTCTGTATTCTTATATTAAAATATGGTTTCATAATCACTAATCACTATGAGTGACAGACTTTCAAATGTCAATAAAAATCATTTACTGTAGCTATTATAGGACCTACAGTCTATATAAATCAATACAAAATTAGATAAATTCACAGGACAGAGATTTGGTTCTACTAGAAGGAAAATCATCCCATATAACAGTTCACTAATGTAGTTAACAGGGTACTTTAAAAATTAATTTAAACATGTATGCATACAATAACCTATAATAATCACAACCATCGCAGAACAAACTATTATGGACCAGAGAGATACAAACTTCTAGCATGTACTAATTCACAAGTCACAGAATGTTACAATGAAAGAGATTTTAGAGATCAGTTTGATCCTGTTATTTTAAAGATAAGAAAACAAAGAGAGAAGAACAGGTTCCAATGGTTTAACTAAGGTCATGTTCTCCTTGCTCAATTTCACTGAAATTAAATATTGCTCAGCCTTAATTTTTCAATTTTAAGTAGCTTGTTAGAACTATAGAACTTCTGTCTACTATTCTGTTTCCTTATATATGGTTTCAAAATATGATTTAAATACACTATTCTATGGCAGTAAGTTTTCAAAATGAGTAATTCTTTTATAGTCTTTTATGGTTTTTTTTTTTTTAAGATTATGCTATATTCATATAATGACCATTGAAGTTCATGTGAAAATGCAATGTGGTAAATGGGATGTAAAGTTATAAACATGGTATAATACCAATTCTGCAAATTGTATCAAATGTATAGAAAAAGATCTGGAAGGAAACAGAGAGAAACATTAGGGAAAGTGGGAGGTATAAAATGCCAATCTTGTTTGATGCTGCATAGAGGTCACGCAGATGAGGGATACAAGATCTACTGAGTTCACACACAAGGTCATTAATGACCTTGGTGAAAGCTGTTTTGATGGCAGAGTGGGAAAAGGAACCTCATGGATTAGAATAAGAAATGAGCCACAGCAAATGTTTCTCTAATGACTGCAATTCGTGACTATCAGGTCCAGTTGCTATTTCTTCTTTGGACAGTCCTGGTAAACACTGACAGGTCTGTATTCTGCCTCCCCTTTATGTCCAAGTCCAACAACCTCCCCCTGGCAATAGTCTTTCTCCAGCCAAGATATAGCACAGTTGATTGCACTTCAGCTTTGTAATTTTAAACAAAGTGACACATGTCACTGTTTACATTTACAGCAGACAATCTCAGCGTGTTTTAAAAGAAACTCATCTACTACTCCTGATACTTTCTAATTCATGTTCTAAATTATTACGCTCATATACCAACTACTCAATCTCCTCACACACATACATGCTTCGCATATGACAATCAAAAAATAGAAATCAGAGAGTTGAAGTACCAATATTCTAGGTCTTAAACCAAGTACAAAAATGAATAAACATAACAAAAATATTATGTCATATTATACGCCATCAAAAAAAAAAAAAACAAAAACTTTGTAGTCATGATTGCACCACTGCACTCCAGCATGCGCAAGACACTGCTTTGATGAAAAGAATAAATGAGGGGCAAAAAAATCAGTGCATAAACAGGACTTTTAACAGAGACAAACATAGATCTTACACATCAAAAAAATAAAATATAAGAGCCTAATCAAGTGCACTTTAATGCACAGCAACTGAATCACATTAGCATAGTTATTTTACACATATATGAATAAAAGTCCACTATGACAACATGAAAAACCGTTATAGTGCTTCTCAAAGTACCATCATCAGCTAGGGAGGAATTTAAACCAAAAATCAACCAATAACACATGGTCTAAGCCAGTAAGATGATTTTATAAAGTGACTACCTGAGTTCCAATTTACATTTAGGATCCTTACTATACAAAGCTTACTCTCTCACATGGTCTTAAAACGTGGTTTCTCTGCTTGGATTATGGATGGCTTCTGCTCACATACAATTCACTAAACTCTTGGCCCTCCTGTAATGCTAATGAACTGAATGGCACATTATAAGTGCTACAGATGGAAAGATAATCAGTTAACCTCAGTCCTGCATCATGGGAGATAAAGCCTATTAAATCCAGTCACGTTGCTTCTGCTTTGTATGAACCATTAAAATTTGGAAGCAGACATAAGTTTACATGTGGGACCTTCAAAGACCATAGCAAGAGAAGATGGGGCACGTGTAAGAAGACTTTTTATTATTTGGGCACAATAATGTGTGCTTTCTTCTCACTGATACATTTGAACAGACTAATGCTTTAGAGAATTAGTGTGAAAAATCAATTTAAAATACGCTGAGGTATATTTCATTCCCTTTGTAAAACAAATAGGAAATACACAGAGGAAAAGTTACATGTTACAACATATATCAGGAAATATTAATATGAGTTATTACTAAAAGAAGGCGGTGATAAATACATTATTCTTCATCACCATACAAAGGAAGAAGACTGTTTTAGATTTACTACATCATGGACTCAAAACAGACTTCAAAAACTTGATTTGCTATTTATTAGAATGGGTTACCAGGGAAGCTTATAAATACAGGCGTTTTCTAATTATACTTAAATACAGTAAATTATCTCTTTTCTAGCATGATTTAAACTAAAGCCTTACCACACAAACTAGGTGTTTTGGAGGGATATGTAAGACTTAGAAAACATTGTTCTTGCCTATAATCCTACTGAGGATAAACACTCATTCAACAAACAGGTATTGTAAACCCAAACAAGTAATGAGGTGACATAGAAGATGGATTTAAATGGCCTTGAGCCTAGGACTAGAAACTGGAATATGGTGGTTAAATGTTAAGGGCCCATGCAGGGAATAAGCAATATGATTATTGAAATGTATGGAACTGATGGAAGAAAGCCTTCTATCAAACCTTCTAAGCACTGTGTGCTCATGTGTAGAAACCAAACAGTATGGAAAAACTAATGAAAGAATCAGGTATAAAACACTGAATATTAGAAACAAACAGTGTATGTCGCTGTAACAATGGAAAGGCACATGTGTCTACTACATAAATGATATGGATCAACGCAACACCAAAGTAATTAAAACTATTTGGAATATATGAAAATGTCAAGATCCTAACTGCTGAATTTACATCTAGTACATGACGGTATATTAGTATATTTTTAGTACCACTTTTGATAGTCAATTATTTTAATGCCCTATCAAAGAGTCTCGAATTCAGTGAAATGCAAATGATTATATATAGATAACATACTTTACCTATACTGACATGGTTTCGATTTGTGTCCCCGCCCAAATCTCATGTCAAATTATAATTTCCAATGCTGGAGGAGGGGCCTGGAGGGAAGTGACTGGATCATGGGAGTGGATTTCACCCTTGCTGTTGTTGTGACAGTGATTGAGTTCTCAACAGATCTAGTTGTTTAAAAGGGTGTAGTACTAATGATCAGGGAAATGCAAATCAAAACCACAATGGATACCACTTTACTCCTGCAAGAATGGCCATAATTAAACAATCAAAAAATAACAGATGTTGGCATGGATGTGGTAAACCGGGAACACTTCTACACTGCTGGTGGAAATGTAAACTAGTACAACCACTAAGGAAAACGTGGAGATTCCTTAAAGAACTAAAAGCAGAAGTACGATTTGATCCAGCAATCATACTACTGAGGAAAAGATGTCATGATACGAAAAAGATACTTGCACACACACGTTTATAGCAGCACAATTTGCAGTTGCAAAAATGTGGAACCAACCCAAATGCCCATCAATCAACAAGTGGATAAAGAAACTGGTGTATTTATACAATGGAATACTACTCAGCCATAAAAAGGAATGAATTAATGGCATTTGCAGCAACAGGAATGGGACTGGAGATTATTATTCTAAGTGAAGTAACTCAGTAAGGAAAATCGAACATTCTATGTTCTCACTCATAAGTGGGAGCTAAGCTATGAGGATGCAAAGGCATAAGAATGACACAACAGACTTGGGGGACTCGGGGAAAAGGTGGGAAGGTGATGAGGGATAAAAGACTACAAATTGGGTTCAGTATATACTGCTCAGTGATGGGTACAACAAAATCTCACAAATCACTACTAAAAAACTTACTGATGTAACCATATACCACTTGTTCCCCAAAAACCTATGGAAATAAAAAAACTATAAATAAATAAATAAAAAGGGTGTAGCTCCTTCCCACCTCTTCCTCCTGCTCTAGCCATGTAAGACGTGCCTGCTTCCCCTTTGCCTTCTACCATGACTGTAAATTTCCTGAGGCTCTTCCTGTACAACCTGGGGAAACATGAGCCAGCTAAACCTCTTTTCCTTATAAATTACCCAGTCTCAGGTATTTCTTCATAGCAGTATAAGAACGGACTAATACATATACTGAATTCTAAAAATTATAAGGTCATTAATTTTTTTCTCTTCCCTGACAGCACAGTACACTGGCAGATTTTTGCCAGTTTTTCTTCCTCTAATGTATTCTTGTGCTATTCCTTTATCTATGATTTTAAATCATAATGTGGAAAATATACTTCATATAAAATATTTAAAGATGTAACTGGAGATTTTAAATTTTAAACTATTGAACAGACAATCCAGGGTTTATGTGTCATTGCTTCTTGTTATCTAGAATGTAGTATAAAATACTGGATGATTTGCTACTGATGATGACAGTAGATTCTATGTAAAAATGGATTGATGTACTAATATACAAAATGCATGATATACATAATGCATATATAAGAAGTAGC